AACTGCTGGACCGATTGTTGTCAAATATTGTGTGAATATTAGGAATGTCATGTAGAGAACGCTAATCAAAATTTTTCTAATCATCCCCGCCACCATGTGATGACATCCCTTCAACATTTCTTATCGTAAATAGGATTATTTTTTTTTTAAATAACATACTTCTGTGCTTATTGTTTATGAATCCGTCTTCAGATTTTCCCCGAGGCATCCAAATTTTCGCAAAAAGATCGAAATTCTACAGTAACCTTTGGTGCTAGTATATGTGGAGTTCGTACAAGATTATTACTTGGCATACAACGTAGTGTACCCTCTCGAATGCGAATTTAGCTCTCGTTCGAATCCGGCGCAAAGTTTTTTTTTTCGCAATTGCCGATAAAAAAGAAGGTGCTGAAATAATGTTGATCAGAACATTTTCAAATGGGAAAACTCATTAATGCAGGGTTACTTTATCAATGCATTCGTATTTTTGGATCAATTGTTAATCTGTTTCGTATCCTGGGTTGACGATGGGACAATTTACACCAGATATAAACAAGTGTGTTTTCTTAACATAATGCGTTGGAAACAGTGGCAGATTAATGGATGAATAAAGTATGATACATTAATACGTAAATTCAGAAAAATAAGTTCTACAAAGATTTCTAAAAAAATATATAGAGTGCCATTAAAGAAAAAGAGGATGTCAATAGTTATTTACATTATGAGTGCGGTAGGTAACATTTTGCAGGTTGAGGTCCTAATTTGCCACCCGATGCGAAGCGGAGGGTGGCATGGGACCGAAACCTGCAAAATGCCTAACGCACGAAAATTGTATTCAATTTTTTCGCCGACATTGATTTTATTTTAAAAAATATTTGTTTTTAAAAATATTTTTCGAAATGGAAATGAATGGTGACAGTTTCTATACTTGACGTTTACTGAAGGAATCTATAATACCGACAGCCACGAGATGGCGCCATGTAATTTTTTTTTAAATAACTCATTTTTTCTAATTCAAAAGTTTTGATCGAACAAAACATGATGTAAAGTAGTATTCTAGTATGTTTTCTTTTAGTATTTATACTGAACTTTTTTTATTAGAGCTTCTAGAGGCTAATGCATATTGAATTACTTTGGCACCCAAAGGCGGTAAAGCAACGGTAAATTGATATTCGGTGTGTAAAGTCATTGTTACGCGGCATGTCAAAGGTGTGTGAATGTTTTGTTTACATGCCAGGAGGCGAAAAAACACATTTATGGGAGGTCATTTAGCATCTTACACTCATAAAGGTGTTACTTAGTTATATTTAGTTTCAAACGTCATATAACTGACACTTATATGACGCTCTTACCGGGGTTTAAGGGTCATTTCTATGACACCGTGTTTGAGCGGCGTATAAGTACTACTTATACTCCGCCGGCGTATAAATAAAACATTTATACTCCGCCGGAGTATAAATATGTGAAAATCATAGTGGTTGTCAACCATAGTAACCATGGTAGGTGAAATCGAGGCAATTCCTTAATGAAGCAAGAAGATAGGAAATAATCATTTCAAAAGAAGATTAATCGTTTGAAAATAAAATATTGTATTTCATTCGGAGTTTAAGTGACTTTATGTGACTCGTATGGACTTAATTCGCCTCGCTATCGCTAGGCGTTTAATCGTCCATACTCCGTCACATAAAGTATCACTTAAACTCCTAATAAAATAAATATCTATTGTTTTAATGCATAGAGGTTATCACAAATAAAAGTTCGCAAAATAATTTTTTTATTTGTTCAATTTTTTTTAATTAATAAGAGAGAGAGGCGCCAGTGCTTCTTGACACATCCCATATTATTTAACATAAAATTCATAGAATTTTGTTTAATTAAATAAAGTGAGATTCAGAAATTTTAATCCAACATATTGCTAAAACCCAGTGGTTTTAAGTTTATGTATTCAACACTCTCGTCAAAGCACAACGAAATTACTATTTCCCAAATGTGCACCGAAATAATCGTAGCGCTTTATTATTATAGGACGATGTACACGCAAACATTCATTTTCAGTTTAAAATTAATTAATGATTTCTAAAAGCTTAGAAATATAGTTACGTACTGTTACGTAAATTGTTAAAATGTCAGAGTTTACTTGTTTATGTCCACGTACTGGCCATTCTGAAATGTTTGCAATGAATAACCGTAGATACGTTAGATTACTTTTCATGGCATCTTTTATTCAACAGTCATTATTGTTAGAACGGACAGAATTTTACTTTTTATTTTATACACGTAACTACTTTTATTAACATTTACGTTGAGAAAAGAGACAATATTGGTTAAAACGATAATAGTAATTTATCATTAAAATATAGAAGTAATAGTGTGTTTCACACATTATAAATTATTATGGATGTAAAGATCCGTGCTATTAACGTTCTTCTGCTTGAGGAAACGCATTTTTGGGAAAACATCTAATATTCCAAAGATTTCGACTTTGTAAAAAAGTGCTTTCCACTTGATTAATGCAGGGCGTTAATAAATAATTTACATCTAGTGGGCTATCAAATCCATTTATTAATGTGCCGCTTCATTCGACTTAATGCTAAAATAAAGTTTTCAAACTTTGAGTCAAATTTAGACGTTTATTTCTTTAAATCACAAAAGATACGGAAAAATTCTACAAGAAAATAAATTTATTATTGAAGCATATTCTTGCTCGAGTCGAGGGATTGACAGAGAATCGCAATTTTCAACTTCTGGTCCAAAGAACTATATTTTTCGGAAGCGGCAATTTTTTTTGTCAAGACGTCGGGGCTCCCTAAATGTAAATAATTAACGCCGTGCATGTGTTTCTAACATTTTTTTTTAATTACCAGTTGTTTATAAAGGACAGCTGAATGTAAAATTATATATAGATCTTTAATTAGAACGGTGATAGGTCAGTTCCGGTAATTCATGGTCGAATATTGACGTTGCTTCAACCTATGATTGGCCTTGTTCAAGTTATACGCTGTAGCAACCCTTGTCATGACCACATAACAGCCATTAAACTGCGTCCGTGATATTGCGAAAGCTCAAAGCTCTCTGTGTTGTAACATTCAAACTGTTTTTTATAAAAGTCATGTCCAACAGCGGTCTGTCAAATATTCTTGCTCCGTGTGAAATTAATTTGTGACGTGTCCATGCTAGTTAGAAGTTTAGTTTCGAGTGTTACCTGTAACTGCAAAGAGGTGTGGAACGAAACTTAAATAACCGAGATGACTTGAAAAAGTAAACAGCTTGAGCTAGGAGAAGACCTACCACTACAATTTTGTTAAGTCTTAAAGTGTAAAATAAAATGTTGTTTGTCTAGACTTTTAGAAAAATTGAAAAACACAAATACTTTTTCTAACTATTTCCTTTATCTTTCAACACCTCAACCTTAATAACGTCTCAGTGATATTAACGTTACCCAAAATTTGTGTCGTGCCAATGCATGCGTTGGACTACAGTAATGTACTAATTTTAAAAGTTTTTAACTTTGTTCGGGTTCTTCGTCTTGAATGGATTCACAACAATCTTTAAACTTTGGGTCGGCCTGAACCTTTCCATCTAAATAAACTGAAATCAAGAGAACCGGTCGTATTCATTTCAGACATTATAATCGGACTTTTGTCCAAAAAAATATTAGCGATTACGGATGGTATACAGGGTGGTGACTTGTTTTTGATACACACAACCGTCCATAGCAAATTTAGTAACAAAAGCAAGGTCAAGAAAAGGTATGGGTCATTTTGAAAACCTTTTTGAATTCTCTATAACTTTTTCGTTTACGACTTTGCTATAAAATTGGGAGAAAATTTTGCCGTTAAATTTGCATGCAAATGTTCTGTGTATCAATAATTAACCACCCGGTATAACGTGCGGCAGCTGACTAGCTCATGCTTTCTTTCAACGGGTTAAATAACAGGAGTATTTCCTTTCCAAGAAACAGAATAATCATTATATATTTCATTTCAAGTAAAATATTTAGTTTACTATCACACTAAGATAAACAAATGGATTATCAGGTGGAATTTGATGCTAAGTTGAATTTGTATACTACCGAAACATCAATACACTTCTTCTAAAAGAAATGACATTTTTTATAATATTTCACATTGGTTAATATCCAGAATTTTAAGACTCTACCTTGAAAAGCAGTAATTTGCAAAGTTATATCTAGCATACTCATAGTCATAAACGGCGATCCGCAGCTGAAAATCACTACGTCTCCAATTTGGAGAAGGCATGATCCTTGTCGAATAAAATAAGATATGTAGATTTAAAAAAAATTGACAAATTTGGGAATAATCAATTCCTTTAACAGTACGTTAAGGGGCGGAGAAAAGGCCAAGTTTATTGTGAACACAATTACCAATATGACACATTGTAAGCAATGGCGAAAATTTGGCAACATCTGTCCTTGAAGCCGTTACATGAAATAGTGTAGGGTGACGAGATGTTACACTCCTTGGGCCTACATTAAAATGTAGTTGCTCTAAAATTAGGGGGCAATCAATGCAATTGTGTAAAAGTTTAAATAGGAAGACAGCATAGAATTTTTTACAAGTGTCCATAAAACTAGTAGACGATATAGAGGTGTCACTACTCAACCAAAAACAAAGTAAATAGTTAATTGTGATTTTTTTTCAGCCATATAATTTAACGTCGATATATGTATCGTTCGGATTAATAATACTTGTGACGCAGTTATTGGGTTTGTCTTCAGTTTTTCTTGATAAAAATAGTTGTACAAAATGAAAGCTTCCTACAACTTATACAAGATATTGTCAATGGAGTTGTATCACTTATTATTTTCTTTAGATAAAGCTTTATATTATAAAACACTCAGAAAATCACTTCTGCAAAACATCTACTTTAATAAATATGATACGGTAAAATGATCTGAATTGAAATCTTTTCCAGTTATAAACGTGTATTCGCATATTTAAAGTTCAAAGCAAAAATTCCTTTTTGCCACTCTCCATCTCTGAAATCTTTTCCACTTTCAGATTCATGGTTCGAAAAATATGTCATATCATATTTATATCGACATAGGCAGCCCTTTCGAGAAAACGTAAGTTTTTAGAACAATAATAAGTATTTGTGTTTTTAGCAGTGGCGGCTCGTGATCCTTTGAAATGGGGAGACGCAATCTGATTGATGAGTTAAATATGAAGACATGAAACAGGCTATTATTACAAATTAATAGATGAAATTGTGTGACGGAAATAATACAAAAATACATTCAATAAATTTAAAAAATATTTGTTCACATACTGAGACGACATACAAAACAAAATAATTTATTATTTTTTTCATAACCGCACATCCAGGAATATTTATCATGCGTATTACTTCTATTAAAATATCTATGAAAGTCTCTGGCTTTACCATGCACAAATTTTTTTATTAATAAATTGGGGGTGGCTCTCCTCAAATTTTTCAATAAAATTTTACCGTCGGGACACAGAGGACGATTTAACGCAATTGAGTTATTGCTGGTGGGCACTGTCGGAATGGGACCCGATTCCAGCGCAATACCGCGACTAGACGCACAGTTTCCACGGCAGTGGTGTAAACAAAACGTCTAAGTCAGTCATGATTTGGTCTCCGTCTCCGCTTTTATCAGCACTTCATGAGCCATAACATATCATATATCCAAGGCACAACATCTTTAGATGTAAGTGGATGTAAGTTTTGATACGAGTACATTTTATACAAGTGGAGCGAGATAAAAAAATTAGTTTTGATAATTATGAGACTAATTTCCGGATAATTTTTTAGATATTGAAAATTACTATTTTGCTATGTCTAGTGTGTTTGTAGACGTTGTAATTTTGGGGGGGGGACACGTGCCCTTGTGCCTCCTGGCACCACCCGCCCCTGGTTTTTAGGTGATCAACTTCTATCCTGTGCATGAATATTTATTTGACTGAAATTTTGATCAGTATCTTTGACATTGAAAAGTCTGGAGGGACAGTTGCGTAAAAATCTTAAGGAAAGGCAGCAGTGGGCTGATAGTTATTCAAAGAACAGGCCGTCTTACACCGGGATCAAGTGAAGGATGAAAAATATTTGATGGAGGCAAATTCTTGTCCCAAAATTTCTCTTATTACTTTTGAAGCAAATGTTCAAGTCGTGAAACAAATGTCGTAATTTGGCCACGTGGAGTGTGTTTGCTTGTCTAATTTCCAGATCATTTACATCAGAGCAAAAGCTGTGGAAAGTTACGTACTTTTCAAAAAAATGTAAATGCTCTAAAATTGATCCGAAATTTCTTTCAAGAGTTCACACAGGAAATGAAATTTCGCTCTGTCACTGGGGTGTACTTATTATACAAGAATCCCCGCAGTAAATTGTAAAGGTTTTTACCAAAAACATCATTTTTTTTTTAGTTCTAAAAGCAAAATTGACAAATCGTTGGAGGCAATTTTTTCTAAATACAGTTGTGAGGTTTATTATTTAGAAATATATTTCAGACAAAAAACAGAAAATTGCAGTGGATGAATACTTTGAAGACCTGCCAAAAGTTTTTTTTTCTATCGTAATGTAGCAATTTAGACAAAGTAAGAAGTATATTAAAACAAAATTGAAAAAACTTTTTCCTTTTTGTTATATTATAATTTTAATCTCATAACATAAACAAAATTACTTACTAATTTTTTTTTTTGTATTATACTTAGAGAGCAGTAGAAAAGGCGATCAAAGACAGCTGTGGATTCTTGTAAGTTTGACTTTGGCTGTTGCATTTTTAACTTAAACTTTCCAATTCACGGTAAACTGACAAAATGAAAATGAAAAGACGAGAAAGTGAAAAAGCTATGTTTTACATCACCCTTGATTGAAAGAGAGGACCCTCGGATAACACGTCTCATAGGGGTCCTAATACGTACACACGTTAAAAAATAATTTCTAATCATTCTTCAATATTATCATTTCAATGAGTTTTTATTTATTTCAATTCAATTCTGAAAGTAACTCAAGTTGAATCAAGTTTGGTGCATCACCGCAATACGCTTCCTTGAATTTTAATATGCTAATCGATGTATAATCAAATAAATGCGTTTGTTTAGTTCTTGTGAAGTTTAGTTTAAAAACAAGTACCCACTGCACTAGCACCATAGTTATTGGAATAAACTCCAACGAAACGTTTTATTACATATATATAATTCAAATTCAATTAGTATTTACATCCAATTATCAGGTTTATCTAAATTGTGGTCCTGGATGTCAATTTTAAATGCAAATTAAGCAGGACTTAAAAATGACAGAATCAATCAGTTAAGGCACTGAATGGTAAAACAGTCAACGAGCGTGATGACTATGATGAGTAGAACATGACCGGTGAACGTAATCAAAAATATATCTTGATATCTACCTGAGCAGTTGAGCACTGAGAAGATTCTCAGGTGAGGCCCCTTTTGGTCATAGCGCACAGTAAATTAACAAAGACTGTGAAAAATTTTGTTACGTTACCAAAGCTAGTTAGGGAACAGAATTGTGATGTAAGAATAGGGAGGTGTCCATTTCACTTTCCCCTTGATGGTGTTTTCTGGGAAAGCTATAGCACACTTTTTTCGAATTTGAACTTTTAAGTTGTCGATGGCACAGATTGTTTGAAGATGATGTTTTCAACGCCGGGAACAGGAAATTATCCAAGGGCGTCAACTCTGGTGATAGGGGTGGGTAGATGTGGTCAGTGTAGTAACTGATCAAACGATCATTATAAAATTCTTTAAAAAATATAACGTCGTTTGTGCTGAATAAGCTGTTGCGCCGTCATGTTGAAAAAAAAAACATTCTGTAGTTTTTCACGATTGAGCTGGCCCTTCTTAATAGTTTTTGATTCACTTACAAACGACAGTGTATACTTGTAAAAGACAGATGTTTGGTGAAAACCGAGAAAACTGAGTGAACTAACGAAAAGACACGTGCAAACGGCAAAGAAGAAGTTCGGCAACTCACAATACACCTTTCAAGTTCAAGTTATGGGTCACGTTTTACAGCTGACCTAAGCGTCATGAGTAACTACAGCAGAAAATTTAAAACTCACGTGGTATAACAATTTAAACATAACCTTAATACAAAAATATAACTTTAACATAATTTCCTGTAAAAAACGTGGGAAGGAAAGCATGCATTTTTAAAACATAAATGTGTTCCTATTTTGTTCAAGTTCAATAATTCTGATTCAAATTGCTGCAAAGAACTGAAAGAAATTCTACGCTTATATGCACGTTTTAGTGACAATTCCAATATTAAGCCAATTTACGTTAAAACAGAGTATTTTTAATGAACCTGTGGATAGTGGCAGTAGACCCATTCCAAGATATCCACTGTTACAATTGTTATTTATTGCCAATGACTCTTAAGGTAGGTTTAGAGAAACTGTTTCTTAAAGAATACGAACTTTTACTTATAATATCGTAATCTGATTAATTCGGCAGAAACACGGTGAATTAATTTCACAATAAACGGTTTACAATCTTATGAGATATTTAAATTTTTAAATATGTATTAAATAGTTGATAGCCACATACCTATGCATATGAATATTCAAAGGGAGTACATGTACAGGATGAGTACTAAAATAATGGGACCCTGACCAAATTTCAGAGCAACACCAAAAGTCATATCGCATATGTAATTCTTTTTATATTTTATTTTTCTAAAATGTACAAACATAGTTACCTAGTAGTTAATTTTGACTTTCGCAATAATTATATTAGTCAATTTTGAGCTCCGATAAGTTTTTAGCCTTCGCAATAAGATGAGGGTTAAATACACGAACGATGAGAAGGTTGATATGATCTTGATTTTTGGACAATGCGGAAAAAAACCGTTGCAGCACCAAATCTCCAGGAAAAATATATCCCGATAGGCGACATCCATCCGACCAAATCTTTAGATGTTTAGAAACTGGCCGAAAGAAACAAGAAATAGAGGACTTATCGCTAGTGATATTGAAAATGAAATTCGTGTAATCGAAGCCGTAGACAATCACCCGCATGTGAGCCAAAGTTTTGTAGCACGATATGTAGGAATATCTCAATCTTCCGTTTCAAAAATTTTGAGAGCGAATAAGTTCCACCTTTACCATGTGACATTAGTACAAGATTTCAAAGAAGAAGACTTTTCCAGAAGAATACAATTTTACAATGTTATGCGACATCAACTAAAGTTGGAGAACAATTTTTTATTCAAAGTTTTGTTCAACGATGAAGCACGTTTTTTTTTTTATTTGATTACGTTCCTCTACAGGCCGGTGTCCCAATTACAGGGGAACGGGGGACATACACAACACCCAGAGCCGGGCGGGAATCGAACCCACGACTCAAGGTGTAGCGGGCAAGCACGAAGCTACCTAACCCACCCGGGTCCTCAATAACAGGGTTGTTAATCGGCACAACTGTCACTGTTACTCCCAACAGCTCATTTTCAAAATGTTTATTCCATAAATGTGTGGGCTGATATTATTACAGATTGCGTAATTGGCCCATACTTCTTCGAAAGCAACTTTACAGGACACAGGTATCGACAATTTTTGGAAAATGATTTTCCGGGGTTATTAGAAAATGTTCCTCTCAACCTCCGACAACAGCTGTGGTTTCAGTAGGACAGGGCACCATCTCATTGTCACAGAGTCGTTAGGGACTATCTTGATGAGACGTTTGCAAATAAGTGGATTGGCAGAGGCAGTGTGAATGCATGCCCCCCTCGTAGTCCCGACTTAACACCTTTAGATTTCTTCCTCTGGGGGATTGTAGAAGAACAAGTTCTGTGGAGGAAAACTGGCTGAATTTCCGGAACCTTTTGCACAGTTTACAAGTGGAAAGTTCGGTTACTAAAACTTACATAACTAATCCCTCGAAACTATGGTTGAACAATGAAATATTTTCTTTAATAAGAAGTAAAAAGTCATTGTGGCAAAAATTTAAAAGGTCTCAGTTAGTTGTTGACTATGAGTTACATCGGCAGGCGTCCAATACCTTATCTAAAAAGATAAAACTTGCTAGAGAAAGCTATGAACAACGTATTATAGAAAGTAACAATCCAAAATCATTGTTCAAATAT